GCGAGTAGGATCTGTTAACATGAATTTCTTACAAAGAAATGTTAGGCTTTTAAGCTGTAATGTTGGCAATCTTCCGCATCTGGCCATTTGATTCTATTCTTTGCTTAACTTATTGAGAAATGATTTCTCATCCTAATTTTTCTATTCATGAAGGTTGATGGCAGACTCGTGCAGGTTCGATAGATACGACTAACATTATATAAATACATAACCTTTACCATCATCTGCATCAAATAAAAACGAAATGCTATGGAACACCTTTTTCCTGGTGTAGACGTGCCTCTGCGTGTTGATAAATCGACAAATATTCTCGAAGTGTTGAAGTTGGTGACCCGTACATTCGATTAAGCAACTATTATACGAGCATCGACTCACGCATATACAGGTTCGAACCATTTGCGTGTGGACTCTGAACCAAATGCGAAAGTTCCCAGGGAGAGTGTGTATGATGCAGAAATGTACAGAGTTTTCCAAAAATGCAATCAAAAGCTTTTTTTGTATGGAATAAAAAAGCCATTCAACATACTCACCTGTGAACATATATATTATCGCAATTGTATGTAAGTTCCATCAAAACCAGTCCAACATGTCCGAGACCCGATTGCAAGAAAGAAGTAGAGTCTACGGTTAATAGCATGTCCGGAAGTCAGAATATCAGCGATTTGATGGATATATCACCATCGCTATTTAAGGACTCTCCTATATCTCCCAGAAAAAGCGTGTCAGTGAATCCACCAATAAATTATCTCAAAACATGCTAAACCGATCGATCGAGAAAATCATCGAATCTGAAACGAATTGATGTCTAGCAATGAAGTTACGAATCGAGAGATTATCAATAGTTATCTTGATTTTGGAGGTGGGTTGTATAAACGATATAAAGAGTATAAAAAAGATAATGATAAAGAAGCGTCCAATGCTCTAGTTTTTAATGACGTTTGAAAACAAATTCCTGAAGAAGTGACCGATATATTGCTTTGCGGAAGAGGATAGAAATTAGCAAAACAAAAAACAGCATTAATTCATTTTCGGTGCGTTCCATTTCAAAGTGATTGATTTTGGGATCGTAAAATGTTTGAGAGGAAATAAAGACGCGGAGTGAGTTACTGCGCCACATTATTGCGCCCTCATGACACGCCGTGTCGTAGTTATTAATATGAATAATAAAAAATGTCGGAAAAGCAATTCTTATCATTAGCTCTAATCCTAATCCTAATTCAAACGATAAAATAACCTTTAACGTCAATTTTCCGTAATCACGTGAGCATATATTTTTGAAGGCCACGTGAACCAGCAGTCCCTAAACACTTCGTAGACTTTCCGAATTTAAAAAGTTTTGAACACTTGATAATTATCCAATAAAATTACAATTATTTAAACAAAAATGTCCAGCACAAAATTTTACATGAAGTAATATTTTTTGAAAAAATATCATATGTCCAAGTCACAAATTCCATCATGTGACGAAATTAGCATTCATAACTGGAAGTTGAAGTGTTTTTTTAGATACATCTACAGTCTACCCTCTCTATTATCAACCCCTTTAATATCAATACCTCTTTATTATCAACATTTATTGCAGAACAAATTTCACTTGGACTAATATATCAATACTAACTCTAACCTCTGAGTTATCAACCCTCTTAAATATCAACGAAAATGCCTGGTCCTGTCATGTTGACAATAGAGAGGGTAGACTGTATATTATTATAATTGACATACCGATCACTCAATTTTTATATGGCTATCTACATTTACTGAACAAAAATCTTGATTTCCACTCTTCTTTAGTTTGGAAAAGATCTTTATTTAAAAATGAATTATTCTAGTTCTTGTAATAAACAGTCTACTTGTCAATACTATTTTAACGCAATTTTTACAACTAGTTTCTTTCTTCAGATTTTATATTTCAATGATTCTTTATGAATCTTATAAAATAAGCTTTCTTTTTTATTATTATTATAATAAAACATTTGTGACAATATCATCTAATTTTTGTATAAAGCTTGATTTATATTCATATTCTTCTTATGCAAACTCTTTTTTATTTGTATGCTTGATTATGAAAGTTTACCTTTTGTTTACATGTTTTCTAATATGTTAAAATTTGTTTGGAATATTATTAAGTGAAATAGGATAACCGGTCATAATAACAGACAAGAACAGGCTTCTAATATATTAAGATTTGTTTGAAATATTATTGAAAGAAGCAGGTGAACTGATTATAATAATGGACAAAAACAAACTTTTAATATATTAAAATATTATTAAGGAATGGATGAACTGATTATAATAATAGACAAGCATATAAGATCTGAGAGAATATCATGCAAATACTCTTTAATATTATAACATAATTAACAAAAAAAAAGGTTGTAAACTTTTATTATTTTTGATATTGATATATTGAATCAAATAATTAAGCTTTGAGTTTAGCAAAAAAACAAAAATTTGATTCTCTTTTATTTTTAATGAACTTTATAGAAAATTTTCTATAGTTTGATGATATAAAACTCAAAGAAATAGAATATTTGCAGATTTTGACAATGCGATAAAAGAAATAATGATAAAAGTTCATTTCAGAAACTAGCATGCAATTATATTTTAATAAAGGAAACTTAGAAAAGATTATTGAGCTAATATTTTGCTTTATTAGACTTAATATCTTTCTTTATAAATATTCCTATAATAATTATATTAAATTCATTTTTACTATAATATTTGTTTGTGCGAGAGACTAATCAAGAGATCTCAGTGAAAACTAACTTTTATTTGTCAGTAATAATTTATTAAAATATTTCAAAATAGAAGAAAAAGAGTGAGAGAATAAGAAAATAAGAGAATAATTTATAAGTGTCTCAAAATAGAAGAAAAAAAATAGCATTTTATTATTATTATTATTAATATATATATATATATATATAATTAACTCTAGTTATACTAATATAATTGGAGAAGAGATTTTGATAATATTATTACATTCAAATATTATTAATATTACTTTATTCAATAATAATTAATATAAAAAATTTTTAAGTTTTATATTATATTATAAATTAAAATTAAAATAAATTTTAAATTTATAATTAATTTATAAAGTGACACTTCTATTTATTTTATTATTATATTAATTATATCTACTATATAGTTATAACAATAAAGTTATTCTTTTAAATGCATTATTATTATATTATTATATTATTATATAATTATATAATAAAATCATTTTTTCAAATATTACTATTATTATATAGTTGTAATAATAAAATAATACTTTTAGATAAAATAAGTGATTTTGAATTTATTTATATGAATTTTGATAATGTAATACTTTTAAAGAAAATAGTAAAGAAAATAATTTAATTATTGATAAAATTGTTCTTGCAAGTACTCAAGTCATATTAAATAATAATAATAAAAATAATAAAAATAATAAATTAAATTAAAGCAAGATTAAATCTGAAAATTTTAGTCATTATACTGGATTTTTATAATAATAGATAATGATATAAATGCAAAAATTAAGAAAATTATTATGCAAAGTTCAAATTTAACATCATATATAATTGTAGATATCATTTAAGATAAAATAAACATTATAAAAGTATAATAAACTTATAATAAATAAAACAAATAATAGAAACATGAGAAATTAATGCAAAAATATTAATAATAATTTTTATTAACTTGAAATATACTAGAATTATTTTTATAATTAAAACATAAAACAATTATATTTAATTAAATAAAGTATTGTTGTATAATGACCTTTCGTTATAACATTTAATATTATTGGATTATAAATATCTCATATTTTATTGGATAAAG